TGGTCCCCACGATTCACTTCGGTCCCCACCTGGCTGCATTTTTTTGTAAAAAATACCCCACGTTGTAGGAAAAACCTATCCACACACACACAAACACACACACAAGATACTGTCAATAATAACGAGCCTAAAAAGTCAAACAACAACAAATGTTTTCAGACAAAGAAAATATTTCTGCTCGGTCTGTCACCAGGAGAGCATCCAACACAGATCCTGACGAACGACTTTACCAGAGCTCTCCCCACTCGTCACAGGAGGACTGCAGCTCAGCGTTCTCTTTAAGGAGAATGGGGCTCAGATCCCCTCTGAACAYTCTGCAGGTCTGATGTGGAGCTGCAGGAAATATCTGAGGTTAACGTGGAGGGGAAAAAAATACATTCTACCAGTTATTAGATCCAACATTTAGGTCACTTTTTCACCAACACTGGACGTTGTATAAAAAAACACCAGAACAGATAGTTTTGTTTTTACCCCCTGCTGAAAGAGAAGCTAGCATAAAGATGTTTCACCTGTGTCTGTTTATATATCTGTACTGTTAGCAAAATATCTCATTAGGCAGTGGGTTGATTTTAGTGATGCTTTTCCTTTTGGAGCCCACCTCATTCAAGATGTCCGCCACAGCTGAATCTGTCAAACACAGCCAAATTAACGGCTAACGAGCTAAAGTTTAGCATGGTCGTAGCCGAAAGTCACTAACAATGCACGCTCCAAACACCACACACTGCAAAGTTTCAGCATTACTGGCATCAATACTGTCAAAACAAAAATGAACTCCCATCAACTTCATGGAAGCTGAGTTCAAATTTGGTGTGGTGGTAGCTCAGAGTCATCTTCATGATATTCTTTGAGCTCTAATGCTCCTTTTTTAGTTTCATTTTTGGAATGCGCTTGAAGATGTGATGGGTTTTTTTTTTCTGACCTTGTTTCCACACACTTGGAGCCGAGTGTTCCTGATGGTCCTACCTTTTGAACCAGCTTCTCTCGGTCCTCTCCGTTGCCCACGTTGCACGTGGTTCCCGTCACCCGGATGCTCTGGCTCTCGAGCAGAGCCACRGCCCTGTCCACGTTGGCCTGCCGCCGGCTGCTGACGACCACGTGGGCCCCTTGCTTACCCAGAGCCTGAGCCGCAGCCAGGCCGATTCTGAGGAAAGGACAGAGAGCCGTCAAGGCAAAGGAAGCTCGATGTAGAGTCTGATGTTGTGGATAGGGTCTGCTCCGGGACTTCTTCCCAGTGGAGCATACCAGAAAAACCTCTRAACCAGGGGTGTCAAACTCATTTTCATTCAGGGCCACATGAGCATTACTGTGGCCAGTTGGGATTAACTCCAGCGTTTCGTGTTTAACTTCAACTAAACACAAAATGACGTCAATAATAATAGTTCCTCTTCTCATCTCATTGCTGAGCAACAAACTAACAAACAATATCTGAGCTCTAGGTGGGGTTTCTTGCATAGAAACAGTTTTAACATGCTGCGTTCACACCGAACGCGATTTCAGCTTCAAAATCGCAGCCAATGCTGAAGTTGGTCGCTTGTGCACTTTGAGGTC